AACAGCAGAATACGTCCTAGCACAGTCACTCGACTAGGAGAGTGATTGTGGTCCTAGTAATAAACTAAGTGACTTCCAAAAACTGAATGGTGTTTGCGAACTTCGTATTAGTTATAAACCGACGTTAGCTTCACGTTTATGTCACACCATGGAAACAGCCAAAAACATGGTGCTTGTTTTTGAGCGGAGCGGATCGCCAACCAGCCTACCGGCTTGTCATTGATATTAATCAATTACAGATTCACAAAACGTTCTTATTGTGCGTGATGAGAATGTTTTATTACAATACTTTGTTTTTGAAAATGCGTGCTCATTTTCGTTTGATTTAACGAAATTAAATAAAGACCCAATCCGGAGGTCAGGTAACCCCGACGTATCTGTATTTGTCTATAGATAAAACAAATACATTAAAATTACCACTACGGTAAAAAGTCTCACTGGTCCAGGATTGAATGAATATTTTCAGAATATTAATAACAGTATCCGAATTCATAAAAAAAAGGAGAGTTTACGCCTTTTATTTTTCAAAATTTGGGGCATGTGGATATGAGTCCAGCAACTCTGGCATATTGTTGAGAGCCACCTTAATTAGAGGTCTCATTTTGGTATTGTAAATTAAATTGTGAATTTAGTTGGCATTCAGCCTATAAGCTATCCACGTTCTAAAATGCTACGTGCATAAACAATAAAATCGGTTTGTCACGAAGGTATGAATGTACTTTTTATGGAAATTCATGCAATATTTATAAAACATTCACTCAGACGACCCCCACGCTTCACTCGAATCGTTGGTTCTAAAAATAGAAACCATTTGGCAATGTCCGTTACCCACGAGACTGTTTTTCAATTATTGACCGATTCACAGTCGTCTTCTGAAATATATGAAATATTTATATATAAAACATTCAGAAATAACAGAGAAAAGCATAAATCTGTGGTCGCTATAAACGTTTTATAATATACATATTCATCAATCATAATGGATGTTAGAATTCAAAATTAATCAGTCGAGAAATGACATCATTGATAGTTCTAATTAATATTAATCAATCAGCAAGCATCTCATTTCGAATACGTAGACGGACGCAGTTGCTAGGTCACGTGAAAACGTGCATATTACAGCGTATGGCATGGTGGGAGTGAGTACAAATCCTTTGCAATCTCAGAAGTCGTTGGGTTGGTGTGGCTTGTTAGCTTAGGTATATATATATTTGGTAGCGTTGCGTATGTTGATTGACAAACCTCATTGACGGTGCTGAACGTTACCTGCATAAATCGTAAATTGCAATTGACCTCACTGAGATGACGCATGCGCATTGGAATAACTTAGATAACTTCAACGAGGGTATGACTGATGTAGTCATATCTTATGAAAATTATTTTAATGTGCAATCATTAATAGAAAGCATTTATTATGAAACGCCGGAATCACCTATGTATGGTCTTGACCCCACTCTGTCTATTGTGGTTATTTGAAGACTGTAAACGCTTTCTAAACTGGTCACTAAATTTAACAAGTATTTCTGCTTTTTATACTGATGCCGGCATGAGCGTTGGCAAGCATAATTAGGTTTTGATTGTACACAGCGCCACCAGTGGCTGTTCTATTAATTTCTGTATTGTGTCAAATTCGTTAAAATGATATGTAGCTATTTCATCAGTATTTAATATTTAAATTTGAAAGAAAGTTGATGATCGGCATTTACAATTTTGTATAAACACGTTCATAAGCAAACTGCTAGCTTTGTACCTTTCGCTGTAGAGGCTGCATAATGAAACTAAGCGGTTCGCTCATTGGTCGAAAGGAAAAACGACCTCACTCGGCACGCCGTCCCAATTTTACTGCTAAATCAACGTTTATGATAAATTGTTACCTATTGCTTTCGATTTTATGAAAAACTCGGTCACGTTGTAAAACTTCCCCTTACTTTAGTGCGCAGCAATAAACATTTCAACTGACTGTGGTGCAGCGTGAAACGAAAAAAAAAGTTGTTTGAAAACTTATAAACTCGTTGTGTCGTCACTGGAAGCGCTGTCCCAGCATCGGTGTAGAAGACGCCGAACTGCGGCGTCAATGCTTATAAACTCCTAAGTGGAGCGCGCAATGCACTTTGGATGTAACTTTTGTGACGTCACTTTCAAGATGGCGTCAAAAGAGAAAATGTAGTCTGCATCGTATTTAGATGAATTTGCCACTGATATCTGTCAACTAGAGACTTGGTCATCTTTGCTGTTTGGTAAGTAATATGCAACTGCCGCTTTAATGTCTGCGATAGTAGAGTAATTACATGAGTGAATGTATCATGTCACTGTGCATCATTTTATTCATTATGTAGTCTGTTTCATTTCATTGCGCTGCATTGATTGACATGCGATTTCGACTTACTAATATAAACCGCTATGCAGCTTTAAATAGCACTTTATTGCACTGTTTAGAGTTCCGACGGAGATGAAAAGCTGCAACAATTTAGCATTACTTGAAACACCATTGTCTCAACTTTTAGACTTGCCATGACACGAGATATTGAGTCGCAACAGCTTTCAAAACCCGAAGTGCGACGCAAATTCATATTGTAAAATTTTCTGACATTGGGGTATTTTTTTTAGAATCTCTGATACAAATAAATGAAAAGCAGAAATTCTTTGTTTTACTCGATCTGATGTTTGGCGTTCATATTCTCAATTTAAATACAAGATGGTCAGATGTATTACCAGATTCTGTTATGTAATTTAACCATATGAATATATATGAAGTCACCATATGCATGTATAACACACCATAAAGCACATGCATTTAATGAATATAACTTTTCAAGTCTTTTAAAGTTGATGAATTGTATCCATATATAAATTTCATAAATAAAAACGTATAGTGGAATTTAAATTTACCAATGCAGAAATAGTATTGCATCATCATTCGTTCTGATTAAAAATAATTACTTTAAGTTGAACATTATCCGATCAGCAAGTACTTCATTTTAAATAAGTGGGCGGTTTTAGTTGCTATGTCAAGTAAAGGCATACACATACACACACACACACATACACACATTATCAATCTGATTAAAATCAGATCTAATTATTCATTTTTTTAGTGTGATTATTTCCCTAACTTTAATTCTTTGTAATTGTCTGATTGCAAAATTCCAAAGATCTGAACAACCGCCATAAGAGATCTTGATCAACTCTCACAAACTTAAAACTTCATGGTTGGACTTTGACGCTTGTGCACAAATGAAATAATCACCTCATACAAGGCTTTCTTTGATTGGTTGACTAATCTTTTTTTTTTGAGATCTTGCAAACAAGATCTTCTATGAAGGATGTTTAGATCTTTGGCCATTCACAGTTAAAAAAAAAAAAAAAAAAATTGAAATGAGAAAATCTATATATAATTAAAAAAAACACCAAATATCTGGTACATGTATTAATCAGATTGTCACATTATGGACATAGACATTCTTGAGCCAATCAAGATTTGAATTTAAATGAAACCTATTGATCTGGTAATTAAAAAATTGTTATAAATATGTTTATAACTAATGTACAGTATTCTGCCTTTCACGGTAAAGCTACAGGTAGTTGTAATTTAATTTAATTTGCACACATCATATAAGCCTGCCCACTTTTTCTGGTGTGACATCATACCAGGGTTTTTGAGATTTTAATTCTTTGAATGTTTCTACAAGCCAATAATCCAAAGCTTTTTAAACTTTTTTTTTCTGTAGTATTTCGCTTACAATTCAAGCAAGTGTGCAGTTCTAAGTGACTAGCAAGAGTATATTTCAAGATGGATATGTCCTTGAATTGGTAATGTAAAACAATATTAGCAGACAAGAATACCACAAAGTATGCATGAACACAGTATGAAAATTGTATAAACTGACACACCTTGTGTGCTGCCAGAGTGCATACTTTATGATATTATTTTTGATAACTTGAATTATTATTCTACATCTTTTACATGCTTGTAATAATAATTTAATTATTTAAAGATTATAGCCCAGAAAGCAATGGAAAACTTTTTGCACTGTGCAAACTGTTGCACTCAGTGTCAGGATTCTTATTCTGTCACTCGTTTTGTGATTCTGTATTTGATGTATACACCGAAAAGTGTTTGAAACTAACATCATTATCCCTGAATGTTTGAATAAGTGTGAGGTTATTTATTTACCACATATAAAGGATAATTTTAATGAGTGCCGATATGTTTTGGTACAGGTTTTTATAGAACAACAAATTCTATTGTTTTTGGTGCCAGATGTATAACAATAGCTGATGAAACATCAATTATTTTTTTATCACAAAATTTCAGACTTCATATAATGCACATTTGCTTTTTGGTCCATTGAGATTATCTGTTCTTTGAGCTGCCCAATTAAGGTACACTGTTAACATCCTGAGTGATTCTGTCAACAGTTACTTTATAGTTGATGAAAAGTTTTTGACTCGTGTTTACGAAACACACAATGTAAGTTTTTGAAGTTAGTTTGTCTGTATGTATGTGTGTTTGTCTCAGTAACAACATTGTCATGACTTCCATTCAACCATACACCTACCAAGTTATGACAAACCTACCAAGTGATGACCCTCACTATTTTTCATAATTTATATTAATATTTAATTTAATTTCGTATCTTAGGGTTAGTAAAATGACAAGATATGGTACACTTTATAATTGTACCATACCTACCCCCTTTACTAACCCTAAGTTTCGCAAACATTTCTATATTAAGGATGTATGATGTTATTTCTAATTTGTTGCATTTTTATTTGTCCCAGTTTCAAACAAAATCCGAAATCGAGGACTATTAATTTAGGGTCTGTCCGACCAGAGTCATATCTCAGACACTCTTTGACCAATCTCATTCAAATCTAACATAAAGACAGTACATCATATTTTACAGACTTTTTTTTGAAGATCAGAACAAAAATGACTGACTGGTGGTCATTTTAGATGTAAAATTTTCTATTTTTTGATTGTCAGCAGGTGTTTCTTCAGAAATGACCAGTATGATTTTGATCATAGTTGGTGTGATGATCATACATATTAGGTTACAGGTGCACATCATTTTTTTTGTGATTTGAATAAATTTCGCCGCCCATTGTTTTTATATATTTCCCCCCTTTTTCCCCCGATACACTTTTACAGATTTATTCACTGTTACTACATAAATAGTATAAATGAAGATACATCAGCACCAGATACATTTTTGTGATCAATTTGGTCGGCCAACAGTTAATTTTGATAACATTGATAACATGTGCACATCACTTTTTGTGTGTGATTCAAACAAATTTCGCCCTCTAGTAAAGTTTTGTGATCAACGCTAATGCTGGTTTCATATTTGAATAGCTCAATTCTTTATCATCTGGATAATCGAAAGTAGTACACACGCAATAATACATTATTCCTGGATTTTTCCTAATCTAGCACCTAGTCTAGCAATTAATGAAATAATTACTTTTCGAGACTTGATTGTGGCCGTAATATTTTCTTTCATTTACATTCATATTTGAATAGCTCAATTCTTTATCATCTGGATATTCGAAGCTAGTACACACAAAGTAATATATTATTCCTGGATTAGTCTAGCAATTAATGAAATAATTACTTTTCGAGACATGATTGTGGCCGTAATATTTTATAAATTTTCTTTCATTTACATGTTTGTGAATATTAATAAAAAGATTTGTGTTCGTTCTTGTTATAGTACCTTGTTCGAAAATAACAATGACGACGACTTGCGTCTGGAAAGTTTGTACGTCTTTAGCTGGTGTAACCAATTTTAAAGTTTTGGTTCATGAATTACATGTACCTGACACCTATTCAGCATTCAGAAAATTATTTATACATTTGGTATTACAAGACGATTTGAAGTGTCTCATGGCTGCAATAAAAGACTCTGTGTAGTGTCAAAATTTGCTCGATGAAGGGATCACTAATTTATATGGTTGCCATTTTATTTTGCCAACAGCGCCATCTTTTGCATTAGCTTGCATACTCGATTGTTTTTATGGTGGTAAATTGAATTGTTAGGTCTGTTGATGATGTTTTCAGCTCAATTACAGTACAAAATTATATGGAGAATTATTCCCAATAAATTCACCTTATTTTAGTGATTTAGTTTGATGTTCTGAAAACTCCCACTGTGCCTGGCCATTGCATGAATACATCACATATCAGACAGTTTGTTGTAGGGTTTATAATTTATATTCATGCATTTTTTACGCATCACTATGAATTGTTATGTTAGGCCAAAAATAAAAAAAAATAACTGTTAGTATCACAATAACATTCTGAATACTCATTTAATTATAATCTACATCTGTCATTGTTTTTAATTGACAATGACTTGTTTAATTAAACTTGAATTAAAACACAATTTTATATTGACTTGCAATGTAATTGAGTTTAATTAAACTCTATATGGAGTTGCATTTTAATCCAAACATAACACTCCATTTTCCAAACATAATCCAAACATAAAACTCCAATTAAATGAAGACCCTATATAGAGTTGCATTTTAATCTAAACATAACACTCCATTTTCCAAACATAATCCAAACATAAAACTCCAATTAAATGAAGACCCTATATAGAGTTGCATTTTAATCTAAACATAATGCAACTATATTAAAAGTTAATTCAACTGTATTAAAAGTTAATCCAATGGTGTTGTCACAACGATGGTAAGACGTGTGTGTGTGTATGCATGTGTGTCCGACTGTTCCACTGAGATCTCAAGAACCATATGTTAGTTTTTAATGAAACTTGATGCATAGATTAGTTTTAGATAAAATGCATATTAATTACCTAATTTGAATAATGATTAGTCAATTTTTGGCTTTTCCATTGATATCTCAAGTACTAATCGTCACATTAGAATAAAACCTGGTACATAGATGTCATAAGACAATGCATTTGATAAGTTTTGGGTTAATATCCTTGCTTATTCGTCTCCGTGTCTGTGCCTGGGTGAGTGCGTGCGTGCGTGCGTGTATCATAGAAATGCCTGGACCAACCACAATCAAACTTCAAACATACATCATACATGATATTATACATATGCACGTCAATTTGTTTCACGATCTGATTCAAGATGGCCGAATGGCGGCCATTTTTGTGCTAAAAATCATCAAAATCAAGCATTTTTCGGCTGTTTACAGATGGATTTTGTTCAAAATTGGTATATACGTTGGACATTATAGGACCTTGATGCACATTATTTTGTTTTACAACCTGATTCAAGATGGCCGAATGGCGGCCATTTGTATGCTAAAAAATTATAAAAATCAAGCATTTCTCGGCTATTTACAGATGGATTTTGTTCAAACTTGGTGTATACATTAGACATTATGGGACCTTGATGCAAATAA